TCACTACGCTATACATGCAAACTATAATCGGTATAGTTTGGGATTTTCGAAACATAACAAGTACAGAAACATTCACTACTAAACATATATGACAGATTTAGTTATAGTTTACATCACAACATGAACATGGCATTCATAACTGTAATTGTCACTACATACGGTATACATACGGATTTCACTACGGTATAACGCTACAACACTACATGTAAACTAGATTGTACGATATTGTGAGGCTCTACTTCAACACTGTACCCTTAGGTGTACAGGGATAAATCCTATCATAGTGTAACCAGAGTCTGCTGGAGGGAGAGTGTGAGATTTGTGAATAGATCTATTCGGGACTGATAATCCCACACCCGAACTGCTAGCTACAGTTAGGCAGGCATGCTTGGGGTGACAAATATCATTTAACTCAACGCCTGAAGAACGTTGGAAAGGTCTCTAGTTAAATCAAGTATGGTTATACGACTCACAATATGTATAAACCACCTTTAGTTTGCAAGTTGGCACTCTTCAACAGTTTTATTTATACTAAATAGAACTAATACACACTACAACCGGAGAAATTTCCAGGGTTTTCAAACAGGACCGATCATACAATGGTTTCACGTACGAAATAGTTATACATCATTATTAGCATTAGCTAGTCACATGAAGTATTATTTTCGCATATCACTACAGTTTTCAGTAACAAACATTCATGGTTTTATACAGGATTGAAAACACTACATTTTCACTAAAGAAAATATTGGATTTTCTTGAAACTATACGAACAGCTTTACAAGCTCATCAACAAGTTTTCATTACAAAATACCACTCATGAACTCACCAGCTTTATGCTGATATTTTTCAAACTGCTTGTATTCTCAGGAAACCAGTAGACAGGTACGTGCTGGATTTTTGAGGAGCTGGAGCAATAAGAGTTTTATGTTTATATTTTACAAACTATTTGATGTAATTCAAACAAGTTTCAGACAAAGTTCCAAACTGGTGTAATCATTTTCTTTTAAGTATTCACTGTAATGGTTGTGTTGTTATGATTGCTATTATCCATTGGTTGTGATGATACACATGACGTCCTCCACCCCAGAACGTTTCCGCCATTCTGTTTTTGGGGTGTGACAAAACTAGAGCATGGGGAAAACTCACGCACGCTAGGTCAACGGGACTCTAACTCACTATCCCAACAGTTTATGTACACAAGCGCGACACAACCATCATATGTTCCACAGACGGTGTGGTACAATCAAGGTTACAACTATGGATATGACCAAGGATACAACAGTTCGTACTACGCTCAACAGACCATGCAATACGGTGGTTTCCCCTCCATGGATGGACCAGTGTGAAGTGCTTGCTCTGCATTATGCCTGGAGATCTTGCAGTACGAGATACCCCACTCAACAATGATCCTAAATATACCCAAATGCAATGGCACGATGGATTCGGAAAAACACATAGATACTTACAAATGGAAGATGACGTCGCTCCAAATGGAAAAGAGGTTCATCTGCATATATTTTCCAGTCACGTTATCGTGGAACGCAGGAAAATGGTTTAAAGCGCTCTGTCCGGGAAGTATCTCAAGCTTCGAGCAATTACGATACCACTTTGTCAACAACTTTATGCAACTCCAGAAAGGGAATGGGGACACGAGCTCCATCATGGCATGCAAGCAAAACTAAGGGGAGTCGATACACGAGTACTATGACAGGTTCACTCTCGCGACACTCAGTGTGGCGGGACACGAAGAATTCCTTGTTATAGGCGCTTTCGCCCAAGGACTTCTCCTCGACCCCCTGTCAAAACAGATGCAGGGGACAGTGCCAAAACAAGAGACGAACTCAAATATAGGGTGGAGAAGTACCTGCGGCAAGTCGAAGGCGAAGAGGGGAAGGAAGCAAACATCAAAGCAGTGGCAAACACATATATCAAACAAGAGGAAGCAGATGCTCATCCCAACTCCTACCATCGGGAGCGCCACGAAGGGTGCCACGATAAGAGCAACCGACACTCGAGACACTCGTCTCGAAGGTTTTTCCTACTCGAGAGGGATGGGCCCCGAGAAAACAGATCCAAAGTACATGTCATCGAAAAAACACCAGCAAAAGCAGAAAAGGAAAATGGGAAGTACTGCGAGTACCACAAAAGTAAGACCCACGACACCGGTGAATGTACAATGCTAAAAAAAGAAGTAAAAGAAAAGGACAGGCCCGTAACCTTGTGGATATAGAAAAGGACCTGAGGTCCAAATTCGAAGCCGATCCCAAGGAAACACGAGCCAAGAAATACACCGGCAAGCGCCTTGTGAAGAAGGAAGAAATCTTGGGCATCACAAGTCCCCGAGGAAAAAGTGACTCCCAAGAAGCAGACTGCGACATCAAGGTAGTATGAAAAAACACTCTCAACATCAAGTTCTCTTTGGAAGACCCCAGAGTACCTAGGTGGATCCACAGGGACCCACTCGTAATAATCGCCTACGTACGCCGAATGCAAATTCATCAAGTACTGATCGATAACGGTAGTAGTGAAGACATTATCTATGAGCATTGATTCCGCGGGCTTCCTACCCCTTGGAAAGAAGGATCAAAACAACCAACAAAAGGGCCGCTGGTGGGATTCACAAGTCACCAGTTACAGCCAATAGGCACCATAAGTCTCCCCCTCACCCTAGTCAGTCACGATGGGAAGGAGAGAATCACGATAGTGATACAATTCTCAGTAATAAACGACCTATCTGATACGAACATGCTCCTCGGACGGCCAGTGCTCTTCCAGTTCCAAGCCATACCATCAACGATTCATGGCATATTAAAATTCAGCACTAGCTTGGGATCGGCCACAGTCATCGCCTACAACCCCGAAACGTAATGTCGCGAGCCTATCGCCAAACTGGAGGCCGCATACGTCCCGAGAAAGCAAAGGACTAACCGGCATGGATGGAAGAATCCAGCTCAAGAAACCATTAAGAAAAAACAAGAAAGTAAGGGAGACAACATCCAAATGGAATATTATCAGGGGGAAGGAGGCGGCCACAACAACAGAGCTAGGACGAGACCCAGAGAGGCGACTGACACGAACACCCACACTGGTTTGGTCTCTTCAAACTTCCTCAAAAATCACCCTTTGACAAGAAACGATGATGGATGGTGACGAAAGACCAAAAAACGGCTTACCCGAGGGGAAGAGGCGTCGCCCCGCAGAGGCGCAAAATCCTCCCTCTCCCGCGAAGCTAACAAACAAAGAACACGAACACATCGGGGTACCAAGCGAAGATCGCCAAATTCATGGATGGATAGAAAGGCCAAGCAAGCTCCCAGAAAAGAAACTAGCTTGGGATAGAATGACAAAACAATCAGGGTGCTTCAGCCAAATCAGACTGCACTCGAACCACATCCCGAATGAACTCCCGCCAAACAAAGCCCCAAACAACAGTAATCGGGGAGGCAGGGAGGTTGCGGCGAAGCAAATACAAAAGAACTAGGAGAAAAGAAAAAAGAGACGAGAGGATCCGAAGATCATCCCCAGGAGGGTAGCTCACCCGGAAATACCAAAATCTCGCACGTGTGAGGACACAGCCATACCCTGGGAAGACACGGTTGGGCGATACCAGATCTATAAGAGCATAGACGTCACCAGGCTACTCCCTAGTGGAAGCATACCACATAGCTAGGTGAGGGCTACGAAAACAGCGTCATTGCTCAAGGTAACGCTCAGATTGTCGTGAACACTGAACTCCGACACAAGGACCAACGAAGAGAAGCAACACGCAAGTGAGAGGAGGCCCACCAAGGAACGTACAAGGATGATAGTAAGAACAAATCAAGGGGGTACGCGGCACAAGAGTCCAAAACGGGGGCGTATCTCCTGGAATTTGACGCATTCACAAACTACTTCACCATCCCTAAGCAAAGGGAGAGGCTCAAATGAAATAGACTCAAAGAAGGGGCAATGTGATCAAACTCGGAACGGATAATCACACTCCAGAAAAACAATACAAGGGCCAAGAATTGACTTACACGACAAGTCATCCCCTCTTTCTTATTAAAAAAAACGTAGACCTCCGTAGAGAGGAAAACATCATTAACGAAATTTTGACAGTTGCCTTTTCACAAATATATATATATATATATATATATATATATATATATATATATATATACCGCTAAAATATTTGTACTCGAGCTCGACACCACCCATAAGAGGTTGCGCACGTTTACCAAACAACAAAAAGGACTGATCATCCGCGTTGTTTGAGTGAAACCGGTGTAAGAATGCAACCATAGGCTTCAAAGGCTCATAACCTTTCCCTAAAAATACGTCAGTAAAATCGAAAGAGCCACAGCTCCTGACCATGACAAGTAGAGGCCTTAAAGGATCATAACCTTTCCCTCGAAATATACAATACCTAAGCCATCAGGCATCAAGGTGACGATCTCGACCTGTCTTAGATGGCTAGGGTCGGAGTATAATCCTCCTCGACTCAGGACTTAGAACAAAGTCCCAAAAGGGCAGCGAGAAAAACCTTTAGCTAAAAATGGGGGTGCGTTAACAAAATGATCCAACCAGAGTTCATAACCAATGGCCAACCAAGGCCTTGATCCTACAAGGATAAACCCATAACACTAAAAAGGGATGAACGCCAACCCCCTAGAGCGAGCTCCCGGGCTAAAGCCAAGAAACGTGCTCGAGGCCCATAAAATCTACCAAAAATGGGAATCACAACCGATGCCCCTCCAATGTGAAACCAAAAAGCATGGCTTCCCCAAAGGCTAACATCAACCTCTGAGACGAATCCAAACCTAGGGTGGCCAACAAAAACCACCAGGGACGACAAGACAACACGATAAACTAAGGAGAGCTATAACATTGAAAAGTAGGGAAGTTAAAATTGTCTGTCGGCTAGCTCCCGGACTTAGAAATGCCACGCAGGGCCCAACACGAATACAAATGCCATCTAATAACATTCTCACAAACACTGGGCAAATCTAAACCATGCTTCAAACAATAAACAACTGAGAAGATGATAAAAGTCGCATACCGTGAGGAGTGTGAGAAGGTAGAGCCTCAGAAGTGTTAGCCTCAATATGTTTCCCTTCGACGTCTAAATCGTTGCACAGCTGACGGAGACCCTCTATGTCAAGATCACCAAGATGGATGTAGGAGGCTAAGTCAGTCTCCAGGAAAGACTTCACCTCTGCATGCATCGCCTGAGTGTGCTCCAAAAGGGTGCTCGGCTCACCATGCACGAATTTCCTGGTGAAATTTTTTTCCCTAATCACATGCTTACCACTCTCAACCCCAGGAGCCATGCAGGGTTCCTTCATACGCCTTACACTTAGGGAAAAGTCGGGGCTCTCAACCACCTTGTCCACCACCCGGACGATGCCCTTCTGAAGCAGCCACTTTAGATCATCCTCCACAACCTTCCTCCTAATGTTGTCATCCTCCAATTATCTATTAAAATCCTCCACTTGACTCTTTAGCACCCTCTTCTCCTCCACTAAGACTTCGATTCGCTGAGAAAGACGTTCCATCGACCCGTACAAAGTTACCACCTTCTCTTCCAAAGATTTTTTCTCCCCAGCCAAGAGGTCATAATGCTCCTCAAACCTGCGTTTCTCCTGCTCCAAACCTAGTAGCTCCGCCCTCAGCTCATCTCGCTCGACCCTTACAGAGGCAAGCTCTTTAGAGTCCAAACCAACCTGGCGAAGGCGTCAGGCAGCAGCAACCATGTAGGGGGCAACCTGAGCAGCTGTGTATTGCAGGCTGTTAGACATATGGGAGTTGGAAAGGAGTTCCAGAGCTCTAATTGTAGCGGGAGGGAAGGCATGACACCTTCATTCATATGCAGTAGAATGCTTCGTCAAGAGAGAATCTCGTTTAATCCCCCACTCTGGCACATAGATGGCAAAAATCGTCGGAAGAGGAGAGGAAAAACCTGCAACAACATTGACTCCCGCCGGGACTGAAGCTGGATCATGAGGAACTTGGTACATTCCATTTGAATCCTGCCCAAATACCCCCCAGGGGTCGCAGCTTCCTTGGGCTCATTCTTGGGTTCACGAGGCTGTTTTGTTGCCTCTTTGCTCGTTCCCTCCGACAATTTCAATGAGTCATCATCGGGAATGTCCACAACAACATCAGAATCCCCCAAAAGGAAGTCCACATTTCGCCTCTTACGAAGATGTTGGATAGAGGAACCAACACCAGCATCCTCCACAATAGGGGAATCCAACCAAGCCAATCACCGCTTGGAAGCCGAACGCCTCTACCTCGTCACCAACTCAGTCGGTGGCTCCTCCTCATGATCGGAGGGCAAAGGATCATTGCGGGAGGCTCCCCCAATAGGCGCGTCAACCAACACTCGATCGATAGAGGAATTGGATCTGAGCGGGGAAGCGAAGTGAGAACCAGCAAGAGTCAGGACACGGTCAACACTGACCGGTGGAGGAAGCATCTCTACCAAGGGCACCTCCCGGTATTTACAGGTGCCCTGAAAGCGGCCCTTCAGCACCATCTCAAAGGGAATGACCCTCTCACGACTGCAAATAAAAACCAAGCCAATGCAGTTAGGGACATGGGCAGAATTACTAGTCGCACAACGCACAAACAAGCACAAGAAGATGGGAATAATGGGCGGAAGGATAGGTACTTACCGTCCTTCTCAACGTAGAACTGAGGCATCATCCCCAGCGCCCTCCAAGCAGTACTTGTACCGACGGAAGCCAGCATATAGTCCTCGCGGTCCTCCCCGTTGAAAGAAATGGTTCACAATGCCCTGGCCACGGTTTCACTAGCCCCCCAGAGATCGGGAATCCGATTAATGAAGTTGGTCTGATGAGGATAGACGAAGCCGAACAAATCATGGTTCACCTATAACCACTTATCCTGCCATTTTTTCTTTGGGGGCTTCTAATTAATGATGAACGTGTGGATTCCCCTCCGTTGAGAAAACGTATGCACCCCGGACTGAGTCAACGAGTTAAAGAAATACTTAAAGGCCCAGAATTGGGGGAGCACACCCAAAGCCCTGCATGTCATTTTGAAGCCAACGATCTTGTTGAAAATGTTCGGAGTCATATCATCGACAGAAAAGTCGTATTGACGCATAATGTCATCGAAAAAAATCGGGCGTGGGTAGTCGGAGCCCCGCCTCAAATATCAGTATGGGGACTCTGACATTCCCCTCCGGTGGACGAGAAATGATATCCCCTTTACGAGGGTATTCCACACCGTGTTCGAGAAGAAAACCGAACCGTTCTTGAAGATCAACAAAATCACTCGCAGAGGGCACAATTTCGGTGTTTTGGGTAGCTATTGTTCGTCGACAAGAAAATATGAGAACAAAGGATAAAAGGAAAAGAGTAGAAAGAAGGAAGGAGTAGTAGAAGCCAGAAGAAACGAAGAAAAGGAAACCGACACAAATAAGGGAAGTTTTAAATGCAGGCGGGAAGCCCAAGCGGTTATAATGAGGAAAACTTTCAGCGCAGATGCCTCCGTCACATCAGTGGACATCAAGATCCATCTCAATTGAACGCTTGTCCAGATCTAAGCTAGAAAAACTCAGCTACCCTAAGCAAACGCTGACGTCTACTAGCCTAGGGGACTTGTTAACGTATCCCACTAAGAATACGTCAAATGTAATGGAGCTCACGTCTGATAAATGTGGTAGTCAAGGATCGATGTACGCCTAGAACTGAGATCAGGCCCTCGCCCTCGTGATCTCATGAATATTCCTTGGTGCCCAACCACTGAAGCCAACTCGGAGATAAAATAGTACCAGTAGTCTCCCAGAGTGACAGGTGCAATGCTCAGGGCCACGCCTCCTGAGAACTCTGAACCAACGACAACTAACCAATAGTGGAGCACGATCTGCCAATAGGACGCCTCCACGTCCTGTCGGCCCAACAAGGACCAAAAATTATTATCAGGATCTTGTCTTCGCCATGACATGTATAAATAGAACCCCTCTCTTTGATTTTCTGAGTTGATTCAGCCAAAGCGTCCATTATCTTATTTTCATGAGCAAGATTTGTCTATAGAGTAGGAATTGAGTTGGAAACTGAGGTATGATGATCAACATTATCCTTTTGCATTCCGAAACGTAGATCAGAAAAAGATTCTCTTTCATTTTGCAATGAAGTACGAAAACTGAGAATAACTTTGTTCACCTCAGAAACATTGTTATCAAAAGCAGTCTTGTAAGACTCCAAAAATCACAATAAATTTAAAATTTTCAAAACCAACCATTAATAAATATTGTTTACAAAAAGAGTCATTGTTTCAAAAGTCATTACTTTAAATCAGAGTTTTCCCAAGACCTAGTGACATAAAACAGAAAGTTGTGTACGATCACGCATTTGCCTTCCCATGATCCTCTGAAGTACCTGAAACGATAAACTAAAAATTGTAAGGCAAAGCTTAGTGAGTTCCCCCAATATACCAGCACACCACATAGCAAACAAGCATACAAATATGAGCATCCAACCTGACTGGACCGCCTCGCATGCCTACAGCCTATCTGGACCGCTCTACGAGCCTTCGGTATAACTGGACCGCCTCGTAGGGCCTACAGCCAATCCAGACCGCTCTACGGGATGCCGACCTGACTGGATCGCCTCGCAGGGCCTACAACCTATTCGGTCATCCTCGGGTATCTTGGCCTACAACACAAAGCAGGATCGCCTCAACCCAACACAACATGTCGACATATGCAACAGATAAACAAAAACACAGTGCTAGCAAATATAGATAATCATACGGGTCTACTGAACAGCTACAAAATATCATATTACTATCCTGACCAGGATAAATAACCTAGTGGGCTGACATTGGTGCCTTCGACCCACGGGTACAGTGAGGAAAACTCACCTCTCAGTCTGAATCCAAGCTGAATAAATCTCGGTCCCGAAAAATCGACTCAACGATCACCTAACCAAAACCAAGGACCAAATCTCGATTAACAGCTCAAAATACCCAAAATACCCTTGGTCAAAATCAACAAAATCCACTGAGTCAACCCAACCGAGTCAACTCAGGCCTCGTACGTTGCGCATACTTCGGGTGTACGCGGGGCGTACTCGTGTCCGAGGCATCGGGGATCAACCTGCGTACGTGCAACATACCATTTGGTACGCCCAGCGTACACACAATTTTTCTTCTTAACCCTTTAAGAACTTAACACTTTGACTTTTTACGTCCAAATGCAGATCCAAGGCCAAAATACCACTGAGAGTCATAATGTTTCCAACTTTATGACTTTGCATGCCCATTAAGTGCTTAATACACAAAATCCCAACTTCTTAACACCTTAAGACCTTCTAAAGCATGCATGGGGAAGAACTAAGCATCAAGATCACGTTTTTATTACTCAAGACCCCTCATTAGGTCTGAAAGGACAACTTATTTGATCAAGAGCATGCCATGCTCAAGAATCACAAGGTTGGGACGAAAATGCCCTAAATGGAGGAATATCTAGATCTACAAGAAAGGATAATCAAGTTAGGAGCTTTTTACCTCCCGTAGGTTGCTAACAAGTAGAGAATCCTATATCCAAGCTTCTCCCAAGCTCCAAGGTCCTTCTACCACCTTCTTCTTTTTCTTCAATAATACCACCAAAACACACAAATGAGCTCAAAATGCACTTTTTCCCACTTAGGGTTAGCTAGAGGGACGATCTTTGGATGGAGGTTGATTAGGGTGAAGGTCTTGGGGCCATAAAGATGTTTAAATAGGGTCCAAACCCTAAATTTTAAGGTTTGAAAACCTCGCACGTACGCCCAGTGTACAAGGCCCCACGCATGTACGCCTTGCGTACGAAGAATACACCCAACATACTAAGTCTTCGGACAAAATTACCAAAATTCCAGTATGGGCTATTTTGCAATCCTCCTCATACACAAGGGCCAAAATGCAATATTCTTCACATATAGGGTTAAAAATCAAAGTTACCTCATCATCGGGATGTTACAAGTCTGGAATATATTCATGAAGGTAACCTGCTTTGTTGCCATTTCATTAATATCATAAACACTCTTTGAGACTTTCAAACTGGATGTTGCAATCAGTTGAGAAGAATCTTCAACTAGTTTCTTGTGATGAGCAAGACTTTCTACATTGGATTGAATTATCTTTTTAATAATTACTTGAAGAGAAGAAAGCAGTTCTTCAAAATTCATAGTCATGAGTGCCGAGGATTGAGAAAGAATATCATCTAACTTCTAATTCAACTTGTGATAATCGCCTTTGGTCATTGGTGCATCATCATCATTGCCACTATCAACTTGAAAAGAAAAACCTGTAGCAACAAAATCTTCAAGAGAAT